TCTATATTCAAAGCCTTCAGAAGCCATATAACTCATTTTTTGTTAATCTTGACATCCTCCCTCGCTTTCCTCCGCGCATCTTGCACAAATCAGACAATGTTACTGTCATTTAGTCCACACTAAAAAAACGCTGGATTTTTTCAACTCATGTTTGGGTCAAATATGGACAAACACAACCAGTGGTTTAAATTAACGGTTATTTTAAACCAACCGTTGGGTTTGTCCATATTTGACCCAAACATGGGTTGAAAGTTGACAACCCAGCATTTTTTTTTAGTGTGGACTAAATGACAGTTAGCCTGGTTAAAACCAGACCATTCTCAGTTGTAACTGAGTTATGGTCTGGCAAAGCGTCACAGACAAATCATTTCCAGAGGGGCGTCACCAACGGACGTCGCGGATAGACCTAAAACCAATCAGAGCGATGAAGGAGATGACGTATGCAGAGCGGCGGAGAAACATCTCCGAGTGTTGTTCTTTGCTCGGTTTTTAACAAAAGGGAAACGTTCAAATCGGTTAAAACAGACGCGATAGCTGATTCGAACGAGTGATGTTCGACGGCGGCATCCATCTTTGTAATGTAGGCTACAAAATCTGCTTCAAAATCCCAGCGCTGTCGTCATCGTGTAAAGCCCGCCCCAACGTTTCTGATTGGTGCCGCGATTTTCGACGGATTGGAAATGGGCTTGAATGAGCTCTTTGCCAGACTAACTTTCAGAGCAAATCTAAATTTGCCGGAAGTTGTCTGGGTTTTCCCAGGCTAAATGACAGTCGTAACATTGTCTGATTTGTGAACAAATCGTTCTGAGTCAGATTTTTTTTTTAACAACTTCAGTTAAGCTGTTCACAAAGCCGGTCTAAATGATTAATTTACGAATCAGACTGATTTGGTTCTCGAATTATGAAAGTGTGTAAACCTTTTGAAAAAATTCTAATCAGTTTAAAAATTACAAAATTGAGAATAAGGTGTAATATAAAAGTTTTTATATTAAAAATAAAAGGTTTACTGTTTTGAGCATAAAGTTGCAATGTTTTGTGAATAAAGTCAGCATTTAATAAAGTAGCAATATTTTTGAAAAAAAGATCAAATTAAGAAAGTAGTAATAAAGTTAAAATTGTGGGCTTGATATCAATATTTTGAGGAAAAATATTAAGACATTGAGAATAAATAAAAAATTATGAAAATAAAAACAAAACAAATTAAATAAAATAAAATATTATATTAAACAAATCATTAAAATATATACTCAACAATTCTGTTGTACACGGCAAGAAAAATCCTTTAATTTTTAATATTTTGCCTTATTTTCCAATAAAAAATATCTTTGCAATATAGCGGTTAACAGCTCACTGGAGAGGTGAATGATCAATTAATAGCAACTTAAAATGGGTCTGTTCTTCACACAAAGCTATCATATAATTCAGAAAACTTGGAATGCAGTGCATGGACTACTTTTATGGTGCTTTGTGTCCTTCTTGATTTTTAAAAGCATTAATCCCATTCACTGCAACTGCATTGAAAAGAGCAACCACAACATTCTTCAAAACATTTTCTTTTGTGCTCCTCAGAAAGTCATACGTATTTGGAACAACATGAGGATGAGTAACTGAGTGGAAAATGGTGACCTAATCTTTTAATCAGGACACTGAGTTTAAAAAGCCTCACATGCAGTGATCTTTGAACAGAAATTTATATGCAAACCATAACATACTCATGTGCGCTGCATGTAAAATCTCGTTTTGTTGTACTCCATCGGGAGCCTCAGATATGCAAAATAAAGCCTTGTTCCAAAGCAATGAATAAAACATCAACGATTGACTCAAAACTGCTTTGTCCCCTTTTCATGATTTTTTAAAGTGTCCAATTACTGTACTTTGGCTTGAAGGAGGCCCAGTCCTGCGATGATACAGAGGGATCTCGAGCTCATTAAATGTGATACCAAAGAAACTCAGCAGCAGTTTACACGGGCTCAATAGAGAACACAAGGACTGGAAAAATAACATGAATCCGGACTTAAGTAAAGGAGTATGTGCAGTATTAAAGTCCCCATGAAATCAAAATGGACCCCTCTTACTTTATTACGGAATAATGCAGTATTTATTTTTAAAGATTTATCCGTGCACATCATTTTTTTTAAACTCGTGTGCCCCCGTAATTTTTAATCCAAATAACTTTTTGCAGTAACATCTCTTCTCTTAAGACGTGTTTACTGGTGTGAGGGCGCCCTACATTTTTTCTTGTTCGAGAAGCCGTTTCACTCGGATATACGTCACAACAGAGAAGAAAAAACGATTGTAACTTGGACAGGAAGGTGATTATTCCTTCCCAGCTGCAAGCCTGATCTTTATTGTCGGAACTGATCCGAACAGCCGCGATGTCTTTTCCTCCTCCTCCTCCTCCACTGCCCACACACAGAGTAATCCTCTCTGCTCATCATGCTTTCATCAGCAGCTCTGCATATCTGTTGTCATAAAGGCAACAATAAAACCTTATGCTGCTGATCCAGTAAAGACCGAGTTTGTCACTTACAGTAAGAGGGGGCTGAATAACCCAGGTTCAATAATGCCCTCAACACCAGCGATGCCAAAATGAAATTACCTCACACATTTTATTGCCATCAAAGTTTGTGTTCAATATGGTTTTGATGTTTAAGCTTTGAGCAGGGACACTATAATGGAAATATGATGCCTGAATAGTGATATTCCAACAGACGAGTTCTCAAGATGAGAATAAAATCACTTGGTACTTTCAAGTCATGTGGTAAAGATGGCATTTACTAGCTGCATGCACACGAACAGCACCGCAATGTCGTAATTACGAGTGGGATTTTATTTAAGCCAAGAGCTTCCCAGTTGGGGACATGCAGTGAGAAAAAAAATGGAGGATGCTATGGATGCAAAGTTGATGGTAAGTTTGTTGAAATGTATGAAATTATTACTTTTCCCCCCCCAATATGTGATAGTATAGTACAATTACAATAGAATATATAACGATTCAGTTTACAGAACCTTCCTAAAATGAATAAAGCACCTGATGCGCAATCTTTATTTGTCATTTAAAAAGTCTTGCTGGATTTGAACGCAGGGTCAATAAGGTCAAAGTACCACGAGAGCGATTTGAAAGTATACATCATATGCATGATATATCGGCCACCCTTATAGGTATCAGCCGATATATGTAAAATTTTTATGTTATTATTATCGGCCCGATAAGAAAATTTGGCCGATATATTAAAGCTGATAAATAATGGATTATTTAGTGTCAGCTGAGACACTTCAGATGTACTCTGTTCACCATGATGGTTTTGAATTGCTTGAAATATGATTGAAATCACTTCAAAAGAGGAAAATACAGTTAAGTCTGTAATATGGGCTACATAAAATGATAATTAGAACATTATAATTGTGTGCTTAGGATGTGGCTTTTAAATGGTGAGACTTTTGTATTTGTAATCAGGCTCTCAAAAATTATATAAAAATTTGGATTAAGATTGATCGGCCTATATATCGGTTATCGGCTTTCGAATATAAAGAATTATCGGTTATCGGTATCGGCCAAAATGTTCATATCGGTGAATCCCTAATACAGAGCTTTATTTGCGGTAATTAGGACATGGCGTGAACGCAGCAATAATCATGACGTCCTAACTCGTACATGTGAACTTCCCAGGAGTACTTGAACACACCAACTGTTAATGATGCAAGCTCATGTTACATTTGTAGTACAAAAGAATTAAAGTTAATAATGGAAAAACTCACACAAAAATGAAAATTGACATTATTTACTTGCGCTCTAGTTGTTCCAAATTCGTATACTGGAAAATTTTCGCGCAAAAATTCATGCATCTTTCTATACGAGTGTTTATACTAACCACGAGACCCAAAATTGTTCACTTGACTCATGAACTACATTTTGAGTCTTTTGAAGTCATACGACAGGTTTATACGAGGAACATATGCAAATTTATGAGACTATTCACTGATATTGGTGGGATTTTTGGTTGCGACACATGAGAACCAGTAAGGTTTGCCGTCAATGATGACAAATCTTGCACGATGCCTTGGTGTGCTATTCTTTAATCTAACAACATTTGAAGTTTTTAGTAAATAACAAATTAAATTTCCGTCTGTTCCTCACATAAAGCTATCACAGAATGCGTTTTTGCATTTCACCATGCAACAATCAATGATGGACATCTTTGAGCATTGCGCTCACGTGTCGTGCTCAAGTTAATTTAGTTCAACTTTTAAAAAAAGCATCAAGACTTCTTTTTTCTTTTTCTTTTCATTTCACTGCCCTGCGTCTCACGCATCTTTGAATCAACCCTTGAGGTGTTTTTTGTCGTCTTGGACAGATGTGGCCACTATAACCTTAATGCTCAAGTTAAACTTAGATCAACCTTTAAAAAATAAAGGAATCCAGCAGTATTGGTTTTTTCTTCTCATTTCGCTGCACTGTGACTCACGTTTTTAAATGCAAAAACACGTTCTGTGTGAATCAGCTCTTGTGGTGTTTTCTGTCTTTTTTGGACATAAGTGATCACTATAAATGGAAAAGTACTACATACCAACTCTTTAAGATGTCTTCTGTTAAACCGTTCCACAGAAGAATGCAACATGAGTTTGAGTAAATTTCATTTTTGGATGAACTACCCCTTTAAAACCACCTTGAAGAGGACGTCCAAAGAAGACAGAGCAGGTGTATTTAAATGATGAGGCTTGTTATTTGCATGCACGAACACCACAGAGGTAATTAAGCTGGACGCAGGCTGAATTGTTTCATTAGACATAAATGGTTATGAAGCGCCTGAAGCATAGCAACTGATTTAAATGAAAAATACGGCATCCGCCGGGTCCTTGTCAACCCAATCGCAAAGATGACAAGTTACAGGTCTGACTTCCCCAACCAGCCCCCTATATTTAACCCCTAATAACAGGTGGGACACTGCCAATTTGCCACACTAAACGGCCCCTTTCATGGAGAAGATGAAAGTGCTCACCCAGAACTTGACAGGTTGTAGGTCCACATCAGCCAGCCCTGTCAGCTCGGCGTACGCGTCTATCCTTGGTTTCGGCTGTCCCTCTCAGCTTCGGCGTGTGTGCTGTGCACAGCTGCACGGGTTGAGTCGCACAATTAAGCTTGCAGATGCTCCTGACTGCAGCATCAGATTCCAAGATCCCAACCGGATCGTCCCTCTTCTCTCCACTGGATCGTTCTTTTGTCTTCTACTGTTGCCAGCCGGTAGTCATGAGGTTCTCCGTACACATTGCTCCAGTGACAGGAGGGATGATGTGTGGCTTTCTGCACAAGTGTGTGAGGGAAAAGAGAGAGTGTGTGTGAGTGTATAAGGCAGGATGAGTCGTACTCTGTGAAACGGTGGTATGTGAGAGAGCCTGCCTCTTTCTACTCTCCACTACGGCTGTGTGGCTTCAAAACTCACACTGCCAGCAAACTGATGACTAAGGGACCGTCTCGAAAGTGCAGACTAACTGAAAACAATCAAGAGCAATTCAATAGAAACAGATCCACTTGGCGTCCACTGGGTGATACCTTAAGGACTCAGTGGCTCTTGCAAAAAGTTCACAGTGAATTGAATCTTCTGTACTGGCTTGTTGTGTTTGTAATATTTTCATACTCACCCTTGACTTCACAACTCAGTCCCTCACCGAAAGCTCCCCATGTCCACGAGGGCTTGAATACTCAAGCAAAGACAAGCAGCTGGAATCATATAATTTTAGCAGACATGTGACCCTCTTAATGCGCAATCCTTTCATCCTTTTATCTATCTCATGTTTTGAGTTTTTTTCATCTGTTTACCTCCGGAGACCCCTCAGAGCAGGAGGTTAGTGAATGCTGAGAGAGAAACGAACAAAAAAATAGAGAGAGAGAGAGATGGTATTTTTTCATTGTTAAGGAGTAGCTTATGGAAAAATAAATCATGCTTTGGTAACTATTTTTTTTCTTCAAATTTTCAAAATTACGAAATACAACAATATCATTTTGAGATAAGTCAAAATTATGAAAGTCAAAATTGAGAATTTATACGTCATAAGTCATAATTATGCCAGTCATAACTACAATTAAACAATAATTGTTATGTCATAAATGACCTCTTGATCGGTCATAACTGACTTCTCATAATTCATGATCAATTATGTCAAGTCAAAATCGAGACAGTCATAATTATGACAAGTTCTTTAGTTATAGTTATGACTGTCGTAATTATTACTTTTTCAATTTCAACTTGTCATATTTATTCGATAAAAAGCCATGCTTAAAAGATAGTAAATTATGAGATACGTCGAAATTGAGATACTCCATATAATTATGAGATTAGCAAAGTTTTTAATAGTTATGACTATTACCATAATTGTGACTTAATCAAATTATGATGTTGTATCATATTTTTTATGTTTATCTCAATTTTGACTCATAATTATGACTTTTATCTCTTAAAGACAACTTTTTAATCTCATAATTTTGGCTTTTTTATATTATTATAAGGATATACCAAGGCATTTTTTATATGGTGGAAATGGGCGCTCACAGTAGCTAGCTACAAGTAGCTACACAGCTAAAGATATTTTCGCCACTGGGCTAAAACTCGCACCACCGCAGCTGCTCAAAATATTTTTATTGGTGAAGGAGCTAGGCATGCACTGGACTATAACTGTGAGAGGCCCTTCATCCCTGTTCTCTTCCTAGCTGTCCTAAATAGAATAAGAGAATAAATAAGAGATAACAATTAGAGCATTCAAAATAATAGCATGCTGAAAATACACCAAAAGCAGGAGTACGTTTTTTTAACGACAGATATGTGCATCCATGCAAATGTAAAAACTAACAACTTTTAAATGTAAATAATCCAACTTAAAATACATTTTTGGATAGATTATTTTAAAGTTGTACACAACTATTTAAAGGTTTTAGGGATGCCTGATATATCGGCCACGGCCACCATATCGGTATCGGCCGATATACACTCACCTAAAGGATCATTAGAAACACCTGTTCAATTTCTCATTAATGCAATTATCTAATCAACCAATCACATGGCAGTTGCTTCAATGCATTTAGGGGTGTGGTCCTGGTCAAGACAATCTCCTGAACTCCAAACTGAATCTCAGAATGGGAAAAAAGGTGATTTAAGCAATTTTGAGCGTGGCATGCTTGTTGGTGCCAGACGGGCCGGTCTGAGTATTTCACAATCTGCATTTGTGAAGCCACAACACGCACAACCTTGAGGCGGATGGGCTACAACAGCAGAAGACCCCACCGGGTACCACTCATCTCCACTACAAATAGGAAAAAGAGGCTACAATTTGCAAGAGCTCACCAAAATTGGACAGTTGAAGACTGGAAAAATGTTGCCTGGTCTGATGAGTCTCGATTTCTGTTGAGTCATTCAGATGGTAGAGTCAGAATTTGGCGTAAACAGAATGAGAACATGGATCCATCATGCCTTGTTACCACTGTGCAGGCTGGTGGTGGTGGTGTAATGGTGTTGGGGATGTTTTCTTGGCACACTTTAGGCCCCTTAGTGCCAATTGGGTATTGTTTAAATGCCACGGCCTACCTGAGCATTGTTTCTGACCATGTCCATCCCTTTATGGCCACCATGTACCCATCCTCTGATGGCTACTTCCAGCAGGATAATGCACCATGTCACAAAGCTCGAATCATTTCAAATTGGTTTCTTGAACATGACAATGAGTTCACTGTACTAAAATGGCCCCCACAGTCACCAGATCTCAACCCAATAGAGCATCTTTGGGATGTGGTGGAACGGGAGCTTCGTGCCCTGGATGTGCATCCCACAAATCTCCATCAACTGCAAGATGCTATCCTATCAATATGGGCCAACATTTCTAAAGAATGCTTTCAGCACCTTGTTGAATCAATGCCACGTAGAATTAAGGCAGTTCTGAAGGCGAAAGGGGGTCAAACACAGTATTAGTAAGGTGTTCCTAATAATCCTTTAGGTGAGTGTATGTTCTTTTTTAATGTTATCATTATCGGCCTGATAAGAAAATTTGGCCGATAAATAATGGATTATTTCCATCAGATGAGACACTAGACGCGCACTGTTTGCCATGATGGTTTTGAATTGCTTGAAATATGATTGAAATCACTTCAAAAAGGAAAATCCGCTCAAGTGCAACAGTTAAGTCTGTCATGTAGGCTACATACAATTATAATGAGAACACTTATAATGAGACTTGTTTTTGTAATCAGGCTCTCAAAAATTATTTGGATTTAGATTTATCTGTCAATATATCAGTTTTTGGCTTTCAAATCCAAAGAATTATAGGTATCGGCCAAAAATTTCATATTGGTGCCTCCCTAAAAAGTTTTGTCAGTACTTCGTTTTTTAAATAAATTAATACTTTTATTAAGCAAGGATGCATTAAACTGATTAAGTGTTATAATGTTACAAAAGAGCTCTATTTCAACTATATGCTGTTTTTATTGGAATTTTTATCAAATAAATGAAGACCTGGTTAGCATAAGTGACTTCTTTCAAAAACATTTTCCAAAACACCTTACTGACCCTTGACTACATAACTAAATCATAATCAGAGTCTATCCAGAATGCTGAATTGAGACACCTTGGAATGTTGAATCCAAAGAATTTGCCACCTTCTCTAAAAAACACCAAGATAACAATCCAAACATTGCAATACTGTCTCTGCTCCTAATGGCCTCAGCCAGCCTTAGATGTGGGTGTTTGAAACGCACTTCAACACCCTCACACAACTCTGCTTGAGCTTTAAACCTTTAAGATGGCTTTGTTTGAGTGGCAGCTGTGAAAAATGGTTAGAGAGCGGTGAAGAGACAGGGGAATTCTGGGGGAGCAGAAGAAAAACATCCTTTGTCTTCTTTTTCAAGCAAAAAAAAAGACTGACTGACCTTTCCGAGATCTTGAAGTGCCTGAGTGTGTCACACTTTATTTGAAGCAACAAACCCTGGTGGAAGCGGTCAAAAGGCCACCTGAAGGTGTTTGAGCTTCGTCCGGTGAGACCATCTGCATTACTGAGAACAGTCAGAACAGCCCGCAAGCAATATAAACTTATGATAGGGACACTGATGAGGCGAAGGCAAGGGTCTTCCCATGGCACTTGAAGGAGGTCACCTTGACGCGTGTGTTTTCCCTCCGGGTGCTAAACCCTGTTAAAATGCTTTCAAGGTGACCACAGAACATTGCGAAGCTGAGTAACATTAGCACGTTTTTCCAGCCTGTCAGGATGCTAATCGTCTGCAATGCTAGATGGCTTGTTGCATATGGTGGCCATTGTGTTGGGTAATCTGAGTCACTAGGGAGCTAACTGTGTTAATTAACCTTAATTATAAAGAGAAAATGTTGATCCAGTCAGAAGTCATCCAGTAAGTATCTGTTTAAAAAAAAAAAAAAACCTTTAGCTACAAAAAAATTTGTAAAAGAGTTAGCTTGTTAGCATAGCTTGTTACTGTATGAGGCTATGGGCTACCATTTTGCAGGTTTAATTTCGTTAAGTTGGTAAAATCACTGCCTATTTCTAGTAAGCTAAACTGATTCAACTAGTTGGAGGCTAACTAGCCAGTTTTCTAGTACCACAGGAAGTTATGCAAAAAATATATATTTTGTTACCAGAAGAGCAATGTGAAATGGCATGCCATTGAAAAATGTGTAGCAAAACTACTTGGCAAAACAGTTTCCAGTAAAGTTGGAAGGCTAACTAACCTGTTTGCTACTACCACAAGTAATTGTGAAACAATACATATTGCAATTACTAAGTTAGGCCTATATTGTGCTTAATTAAATTTACAGTAGAACTGCAAATAAATATTTAGGACTCGGTAAACATAGAGGCTAACTAGCCAGTTCCTGTGGTACTACTACTAAAGGAAGTTGTCTAGCATTTCATGTTTTAACATGCCATATTTAGGCAGAGATGCGTTACACAATAATACAAAGTGACATGCTGCCGTGAAATCACCATGAAGCAGAGAGGCAGAAGTGACTCAAATTTTCGATGTCACTCAGACATTTGAATGCCTCAAGTTGACCACGCTGAACTTAGGGCATTCTTCTCTAGAAGTAAATGACATTGCCAGAGTAGGACCTAATTTGCAACCTTTGTTTGTGTGTGTGTGTGTGTGTGTGTGTGTGTGTGTGTGTGTGTGTGTGTGTGTGTGTGTGTGTGTGTGTGTGTGTGTGTGTGTGTGTGTGTGTGTGTGTGTGTGTGTGTGTGTGTGTGTGTGTGTGTGTGTGAGAGAGAGAGAGGAGTTTGCATGAGACAGACCAGTCCAAGCCGCAGCCGCCTCCAGAGGCAGTCGTGATTGAAGTCATGCAGAGCATAGCTGAAGTCTCACCGGGTCCAAATGGGTCCCTACAGAGAGAGAGGGGGGGCAGAGAAAGCCAGAAAGGCAGAGGGCAATCCAATGAGAAAGAACAACCAATGCCATTTCCAGAATTCATGCCAACCAAACAATGAAATATGCATTAAATTCTTTTTTTTTTTTTTGTAATTTCAAAACACTGGTTATTAATATAAGTTTTCTACCACAAAATTGTTTTAGAATTTAAAAAACACTCAATTTAATTCTGACTGACACCCAGACTGATAAGCATTCACTGTTTTTGCCCAAAAATATTTGCATTTACCTCATTTAATATTTACAGAGGGCTCTTGCATGAGGGGTTCAATGATGTCCACAAAGCCACGTGTATGTCTTTCATATCCAATATGCAAGGCTGCGGCGTTCTTGTTTACCCTTAACAAAGCACACATCATCCACCCTTCTGAGAGCACAAGGATTTGGAAACCA